CGTTTCGACAAGGTTTTTTCATCATCAGCTGTTATGTTAAACTTATATTAAAGTTTTTCTTCATTACCCATTCAAGCCGTCTCCAGCCATTATCATGACTATTAGTTATTTGAAACTAGCATAGTATTCTAGGAGTTTATTAATGATGATTCTTTCTGTCATTCTAACTTTTTATTCCACGAGTTCTTTTCTTGTTCAACCTCACAGAATGATACAATGAATACTAGCACGTTGGTGTTCTAGTGCAATGTATTTATGCATATATTTTTGAGTGTACTGGCAGACAGACTTGATTTAAAATAATTACTTTCTATAAGCTCCATAATAACTAAAAGATACATTTTTTTCTGGAATCAAGCCAACTAAAAAGAGTGCCAAGCCACCAGATATGGTTTTCAAGTCCTGTTACAGATGAATGTTATCTGTTGATTTTATGTTATTTATTAAGAAATGAAAATGTTAACACAAAGTAAGAGAAATATGTTATTGAGTTTGATTAAGTTTACATATATATATTATCTCGCTTTAATCACCAAATATTTAATTTCCTTGGTGGTATTTTGTTTTTGGATGTAATGTTTTTGCTAACTGACTTTTTGTTTGGCCTTTCATAGTTTTAATGCAGACGAATTGATTCAGTTTTATGAATTCACTTAACCAGTTCACTGGTCATCACCAACCACCCAGGAGGCATCTGTTGCAGGACCCTTTACTTTCTAACATTACACTTACACTTCTTGGCCCATTCACATTGGTCATTTGTCAGGTACCTAAATCTTGGAGGAGGGCTTCCATTCTTGTCCAGTCTGCATTTTATCAATGGAGTGGTCTCTACATCCCTAAATCTTTTGTGGGTTTTGCACCATGAACACATTTGCCGACTTTCTCAACTCCTAGCTTCTTTTGGCCTGTTCCTTGTCCTTCAGCTCTAGCTTTCGATATTCTCGGCCAGGTCTGGTCTTACCTCTTTCTATATGCCTGTTCCTCTATTTGTTTCCTTCCTTCTCTTTATCGGATCCTATTGTTGGTGTGTCTAACCAGCTCGGCGTTGGTCTGCTTGACATTCAGAACCCCCATTTTACCCAATATCTCCCTCTCTTTTGGTTCACCCTCATATATCCTTTCTTCATTGAGGGGTATCATTTCTTCATAAGATGTGCCTAATATGTCTCCTGTCGGGCTAGACTTTCCAACTGTGTGGTGACATTTTTCTTGTCACATTCTTTTAGCCATTCTGTTGTCTTTATCTATCAAACTGCTATGGTGGGTCTTTTGTCACTGGTTCTTTCACCACTCGTTTCCATCTGGCCATCATGCTGTGAACCACCATTATGCATTTTTTTTAACCATATTTACCTTTTTGATTTCAGCATTTTCATCAAAGTTGGGCTATGAAGAACACATACCTGGGCAGACTCGAGATTGGAATGAAGAATTGCAGACGACACGAGAACTACCAAAAAAGACTCTGCCTGAGCGATTGCTAAGAGAACGTGCAATTTTCAAAGTCCACAGTGATTTTGTTGCAGCTGCAACTAGGGGAGCAATGGCTGTGATTGATGGGAATATCATGGCTATTAATCCTGGAGAGGAGACAAAGTTAGTGTAACCTTTAAATACCAAAGTCTATTCTGTATGCAGATATTTGAAGTAAATGTTGTGTGTGAACTGTAAGCTTAGTAATTGATCTCTTCATTACTTCTAAACAATTTTGTCGTTAATTGAATGTAATTTATATTTTATCATTTTTTTTTTATCATACTTAATTCTTCTTTATCTAAATATTTCTCATTTATTGAAATTGACCTCATTAAACCCCTCAGTACAGGTAGGTCAAAGTGCACATGTCCTAACTTTTTAGAAAGTGTCATTAAAAATTTAATTAAACTACTTTACTATCATTGTATATGAATAAACTTGGCATCAAAATGTAGTTAATAAACCAAACGTTTATATTATATTAGTTTTAATTGTATAAGGAAATATTTAAAACAATTCCTTAATCTTCCCTAGTATGAAAATTTTGACATTTGTTCTCATGATCTTCCCACCCCTTTGAGAAGTACAGAATTGAACATAAATTATTTATAATATAGAAAATCCTCAGGCAAAGCATAATTTATATTTGTTTACAGAGCCAGAAACTAGAAAATCAGACCCACTCTTTCACAGATAGTCAATAGTTCTTTCTGATGTTTAATACTATGTTATTTATGACCAATAGAAAGCCAGAGTTTTAATCTATCAAATGAAATATTATATTACATTGTTTTCTATACAAAGAATTGTCTATTTCACATCCATTTTAAGCTTTATTCCCACAGGAAACATGCGTGAATTTAACTGAATTTTTAATGGTTCTTATCACATAGTTCGAAATATAGAGACATTATGGTAGTTATAGGATAGTGTTTGCCTTTTGTGTGTGCTATTATTCTGTATTCTTGAATGTATTATTTAATTAAATAAAAAATTTAGTATAACAGTACCATTAGAATTTTTAAAAAAAGTCTGAAGTTTCATCAACAGTCGGTACAAAATAAAAGAGAAAATCCAGATAAGTAGAGTATTTTTTGTTTTCATCCATGTTCTTTATTGTTATAAAAATAATTGAAATGTAAAAATTGGAAATTTATTAAGTTATTTGTGGTTAGATTAGGTAAAATAAAGAAATATAATAATAGTAAAATTTCGTCACGAGATACACTTGCGAGTAGCTTGTTTGTGTTACATAATTCAATATGGTAACGTGAGCTACACTTTTTTCAAAGTTTACAACTTGTGTGGTGGGATTATTAGTCAGACATGGTTCAAAGAGCAATAAAATGATAAAATTTAAGTAGAAACAAACATATACTGTTATGAGCTTTAAGCTGTTTGGGATAAACATCTGTAGTTTCCTGTTATAATTTGAAGTCATTCTAGAAAGAAAGAAAAGGTTGATTTAAATTTGTTTCATATTTTTGTATGGTGGTTACAATGTCAGTAAAATTGATTAACCTTGTATAGAGTTAGAGTAGAGAAAATAACACATAGAAATATAATATTTTATTAACAAAAAACGTTTGAAATTTATTTAAGAGGTTTTATAGGTTATGCAAATGAAATTTGAGAATTTTCAGGTGAAGAAAGGTATTTTTAATTTTAACCCTCTTTCCACAGACATCTTTTTTCTGCACATGTCACAAGGTTTTAGTGAGTTCATTCAGACTTAACCACTTTCTTTTCATGGTATACCAATAAATATAGCATTAAAACATAATTAATAATCCATATTTTAACAGTATGCAAGTTTTAAATTCTTACTTTTATAAAGCAATATTTAAAAAAAAATCTAATTTCCCTCAGTGTGAGTATTGTGAGATTTGCTCTCTAGGCAATCCCCTCTTCTCTATTTTATTTACTACCCCTTCAAAAAGTACAAAATTTAACGTAAATTAGTTATCATAATATTTTCATCCCTCAGCCAAAGCATAATTTTCATAGCCTTCAATCTTGTTTGGTTACAGAGCTATGAAATAGACAAGACCCCTCTTGCTACACCCACTTGTCAAATAATATCTTTCAGAAATTGCCAATAGTTCTCTCTGACATTCAATACCATAGTACTTATAACCAATGGAAAGCCAAGGTTTTCATCTATCAAATGATGTATTATATTATGTTGTTTTCTGTACAGAGAATTCTCAATTTCACTTTCAGTTCAAGTTTTATTTCTTTGGAAAACACATTGATGAGCTCAGATGAAGTTTTAACAGCTCTTGTTTCGCAGTTAGAAAGGCAGAAAAATTGTAATAGTTATGGGACATTTGTCTGCTTTTTCACATTATTATTTTGTGTTCTTTGGTGAATTATTTAATTAAATACAAAAAATTATTCAGTGCAGTACTACCTTTAGTATAAAAAAAAATAGGTGTTAGGTGTCATCGACATTCAATAACAAAAAAAGAAGACCCCAAGTAAATATGTTATTTCTTGTTTTTATCCTTTATCTATTATTATAAAAGTAACTAAAATATAAAAATAGGAAACTTTTGTTAGTTAAGGTGAAATAAATAATAAAAATAATAATAACATTTGTTCACAAATTACCCTCATGAGCAGCTTGTGAGTAGCTCGTGCGTAATGTAACTCAGTAGCGTAGCATGAACTGCTTATTCTCCGAGTAATTTATAACTTATAATGCAGGGTTCAAAGGGTAAAAAACAATAAAGTTATATTGTTATGAGTTTAAAGCTGTTTATGATAAACAAATGTAGTTTCATGTTACAATATGAAGTCATTCCAGAAAGAAAAGAGGGAAATTTAGGTTTGTTTCGATTTTTTTTCTGTTGGTTACGAGATTAGTCAAATTGACCAACCACCCTTCTGTAAAGTTAGGGTAGAGAAAATAATGGATTAAATATAAAGTTTAACTGAATAAAAAACGTTGGAAATTTATTTAGGAGGCCTTAGAGATTATAGAAATTTAATTTGAGATTTTTTGAGATGAAGAAAAGTATTTTTAATCATAATGTGGAAATCACTCAGCACTCAGACTAGTATATAGAAATATTATATACATATTCACGGACAAATCTTTGTTAAGAAATCTGATTTTTTGTGTACAGAAGACTTGAAATGTTTGCCAAATTTTTTGAAGATACCCGAAGTGTATTTAAAGTTATAGTATGTAAACTAATAAGGAGTACAAAATGGTTAATCGAATCGACCAACTTCGTAGCGAGAGAATTAAAATGAAAATCACTTTGCACTTGGAGCGGTCAACACTTTATCTCCATATGTTCATGGAGAAACTTTCTGTGAAAATACTTCATTAAAAGTTCTGATTTTTTTATCTACAAAAGACTTAATTCTTATTGAAAGTTTTCAAAATTTTGTGCAAATACACAAAACATACTACAAGTTGTAGTATGGAAACCATAAAGGTTAATTTGGGGTCATGAACTCTGCTGATTGAGCCAAGCCTGTTGCGGGAAGGTTAAAGAGAAGTGTTTTACATATGTTTTAAAATCAGTGAATGCGAGTTAATCCTACGTAACCTAACATTGATAAATTCATTTCAATTTGCTGTAGATATTGAGAGTGAAAATTCACTTAATTGAGAAACTGAAATTACTAATGATCTTTTTTTTCCTGTTTTTATGATAAGTGTTTAGAAATCTTAACTGAAATTTGATCTTTTTTTTTTTACAATCGTAGAATGCAGATGTTTATATGGAACAACATTTTCTTTAGTCTGGGCTTCGATGTTAAGGATCATTACAAAGAAGTTGGAGGAGATTCTGCTGCGTTTGCTGCACCCGTACGTTTGAAAATTGTTTTTGTCTTTTTTTATTAATCAAACTTGGTAATAATGTTATGTAGATAAAGAAGACACTTATTTTTTATCAATGATCTGATCTGAAAGTGTTTTAAAGAACTATAAACAGTGTATTTTGTAGAACAATAATCAGATCACAACAATATTTGTCAGTTAAGCCTTTCAGAATGATGATTTTGTATTTGCAAAACATGATGGTTGTTAAATTCCATTCTTTTGTTACTGGTGAAACTCATGACGGTTTTGCTAAGAAGTAATAATTTTCTGATTTTTTTGTAGCTCTAAAGCTTTAAATATTTCTTTGTTCATTCATACAAATAGTTACATACGACTTATCCACAAATGTTAATACATAATCTATGTAGATGCTTTCTTTGCTATTCTTTTTTTTTTTTTTCTGGATAAAAATTAATAAAATAAATCTTCATATTTTATGTTCTCTGATTAGTATTTAGACAATAGCTGGCAGCAGGTTTTCTTTATTCCAATTTTTAGCGAAGTACAATCTCTGTGATTAATATTGAGATGAAGTGACAGCAGTGTTTTTTTTTCTTATTTTGATCTGTATTCAAGTGATTAGTACTGAGACAGTAACTAGCAGCAGTGTTATTTCTTTTCTTCTGGTCAATAAGTGAAAATAAATACTGTACGTGAATTTAGGGAATAGACTCGTTGGATTTTAGAGCTGGTCTGTAAAAGTGTGCACGTGATGAGAAATTATAACTGTTGCACATAGCCAAGAAAAGCTATAAAGACGGGGAAATGTATCAAACACTTCGTTATAAATCTAATAAATTTTTATGAAACTTAAGTTAATTATGTAATTTAAAAAAAAATCAAACTAAGTTAATTTACCCTAATTTCTTGTGAATTTTATCCTCCAATAGTGTAATGATCTTCAAGGAGTGCGAGCTTACAGTTCTGTAGATGTAGATGGATTGTATACTCTAGGGACTGTTGTGATTGATTATAGAGGTTATAGAGTTACTGCCCAGTCAATTATACCAGGTATGTGGTTTATGTTGAAAAAATTATCACTGCTACGATACTGAGCAGATTTTTGCTTCCGGTGTTTCATTATAGATAATTATAGATGCCACTATTAATGTTATCTAACCTATATAAACTCCAATGTGTGTCACATCACGCTTGATTTCTCAAAATATGAGGAGTCATAAAAGCCTAAATGCATTTATCCAGATAGAATAGTTCTTTTAATGTCTGCCCGTTACTATTTTAGTGATGGGGGTTCAAGGGGGCCATGAAGGGGGGTTGCTGTGAAACCTCGTAACTGAATTGAATGTTGGTATGAGTTAAAGAAATTATAAATTAGCCTAAAGTAAAGACAGTGTGTGAGATAACCTAGCCTTGAGCCACGTGCATAAAATTTATCATGAAAGTAAAAATATTGATCCAATTTTAAACTTAAATAATTTTTAATTTAATCATTGGAGACTCTAAATTGATAAATCAACAAATAGTTTTTCAATTTTGTAGTTTATATATTTCATTTTATACTTTCAATACATAAACTAACAACAATATTAGGTTATTATTTTGTTGCTAAGTGACATGACATAAAAGCCATCATTGGAATGCATTGTTACCAAAATGCACTGGCTTTTCTATATATTAGAAGTTGTTATATAAGGAACCAATTTTTTTCCATGCATTTTTTTTGCTAGCTTACCTCATTAAAAAGGCATACATATGGATAAGTAATAATATCAAGGTGCACACCCCCAGGGTCTACTTAGTATGGGTGCAAAATTTCAGGTTTCTAGGTTTTTTTTTTCTTGGAGCTATGGTGGTCACACTTCTTTTATATGTGATTTTTGCTAGCATGCCTCATCAAAAGATGAGCATGTGCACATGCTCATGGATAAATAATAATACCCAAGTGCACACCCTCAGGTTCCACTTAGTATGGGTGCAAAATTTCAGGTTTCAAGGTTCTTTCCTCTTGTAGCTATGATGGTCACACAAATACACCCTTTTATTATTATTATAGACTAAATTATTGCTTAGTATTTAAACCTCTAAATGATATTTTATCTTTTTATTTCTTCATCAAATGAAAGCTACAAATTACCTTAAATGTTTTTTGTGAAACCTATTACAGAAGTTCTAACAAATGTTTAATTTTAAGGTTCTTAAAAAATTGAGCCTATTTTGAGATTAAGAATGTAAAAAACAGACTATATTAAATAACTGAATGGTGTATGAACTGTAGTAGTTGATAATGAATTTTAATAAAGTTACAGAAGGGTCTTTTTATTACGGTATAATCACACAGGTATTTTGGAGAGAGAACAAGAGCAGTCTGTGGTGTATGGATCTGTTGATTTTGGCAAAACTGTTGTTTCTCACGAAAAATACATGGATTTGGTAAATTGCTTTCTATTTCCCATCGTTTATTAAAAAATTCTGTTACTTACTCATTGTAGCATTGAGATTTTGATCATATTTCATTGAAAGGTTTCTTAACTGAAAAAACAAAAAGCCACAGTAAACATAACAAACTGTCTTACTTTATTAAGTACTGTACCTAAAAATGTGAGAGAAACTACTTTCTCCAACATCAAGACTTCTGACAGCTTGTACCATCATTCGTTATGGTTTTTTTGTTCTTTAATTGCTACGCAAGATATTTTATTTTATGATTTTTAGCACTGTGTTATAAAAACAGTTAACTTCTGTGTTATTAGTGAAAAAAAAAGTATAGGGAAAAATTGTCTTCGTGCCAAATAACTATGAGAAAAAAAATTTATCACAAGTGAAAGTTATATTTGGTGAATTAGATGTTCTCAAAATTAATGTTTTTATTCTTTATCTCTTAAACATGAAAATGATTGTTTTATGAGAAGCTCGGGAAATGTATTGTAACAATGGAATAATCGTAGTTGGAAACAGTTTTTACATTTGTAGTGATTCGCTGAAGAAGATAACATTTTAATTGCTCATGTTATTTTTAATTGGTTTCTTTAATACTTTGTTTCTGTTCAGTGGTAGTGTTCTTTTTCTTTGATTACAACTATAGGAAATTGCTTTTTATGTTCATTACATTTTCTTTCCAGCTGAACAAAGCTGGACAACATCTGAAGATTCTCCCTCACAAGTAAGGAAACAAATTCGTTTTATCTAATAAATGAAACTGTGAAATACTTTTTATAACACTGATGTTTGTACCTTCAATATCTTAACTTTTTGTCAGAAAATTAGGATATTTTACAGTTGATTGGATTTTTTTTCATCTTTAGAGCTCTAAAGTTAATTTAGGGTTAACTTTGGTAGACATGAGTTACTTCTCAAAAACATTTTCTATAAAATAAATAAAAATGATTTATTTCAAAATTATTGACATAAGATTTGTTTTAAGATAATATATATAGTGAAATTTGTGTCTGTGAATAATTAAAAGTAAATACTTTTTTAAGTGTTTTATTTAATACGAGAAAACATTACCTAGTTGCTAAGTTCCTTACAGTACAAGATACTGTCTTTCTATATTACGAGAATGTGAGAGAACAGTGTCTTGTTAACTTCCTTACAGTACTAGATAGTCTTTCTTTATTGACCCTTTCACTGAGGGCAGGTCAAAGAGCACATGTCATGACATTTTAGTTATTTTCAAAATTTTATTAAGTAAATACTATTACTTATGTCAGTGGATTGATATCAAAATTTAGCTGTATAATTCAATTTGAATATTATATATGTTTTAATTTCGTAATTTAAAAGAAATAATATAGAAAAAATGCTAAATATTTTTGTGTCACATAGCACTTCCTATTTATTGTGTTATTGCTCTGTTTATAATTTATTATGTCTATCACACAATGTGTGCAGTGGTTAATGAATTAGAAACTCAAACTGGAGATATTGACAAGTTATAATGAAAAATAGGAACCTCCGACTTCTCTGATTTGCCGAGATATCAATATATTTAGCCATTCTAGTACTTTGGCTCCTCCCACTACTCCATTCTTTCAAAACCTCTTGTTTAGTCCCACCTACTTCTTTTAACTAAGAGTTTATAACCAATAGAAAGAGCAGTTTATTGTGTACTTAAATCGTAAAGCCATTTGTAAATAGCTTGAAAGAGAAATAGAAAGTTGTTGCTTGTAAGAGAAATGGGATTTTTTAAAACTCGTATATAGCTTGTTTAGAAACCCAAATAAATTAGTGATTTTGTGTGCACTAATATAGTAAGTGATAACATGTTTTGAATTTATTTAATATGTATATTTGAAGCGTACAAAATTAATACCTCTAAGAATAAACGAGTCTTACGGTGAGGCTTAGCACAAATGTGACACTCTGAGCACAAAGTCTCATAACCACCGTGATTACTGAAAATCTTTGCTTTTTCAAGAGTTTCTTATTTATTCTTCAATGTTTTAAGAAAAATAACTAAAACTTAAGTATTTGTGAATAAATAATAACTATGTATATATATACATGTATAATGTATGGTAGCCAAAATTTTGCTATAATTCGCAAAATACTGGTATTATAGTTAGATATTTATACTTTGTAGGCATATATAGTTATGCCTACTTTTATTGTACACGAGGTAAAATCTAATCAAATTATGCAACATTAGAAGCTTGACTAATTAGAAAGAGGTTTATTCATAACATTTTAGAAAGATGCATTACTTTACAAATGTCTGCAGAATAAAGTTATCCATGATATATATATCTAAAATTGATAATGCACATACAAATTGCAGGGAACAGTATCAAGTTATACACATTTTAATATACTAAAATGTATACAAATGTTGACACATGATAAAAGGAACGACCAGAAGAACTTAAAAAAAACAAAATACCTAATGCTGTGCACAGGAAAAAATGTCAATAAATGCAAATTTACGAAAGTATTTTAATACAAACAATTTAGGAAACTGTGGAATAAAGTTATGCACAAATGATTCTTAAAATGAATAATGTGTATAAGATCGCATGAAATAATATAAAGTTATACACATTCTAACTTACAAAAATGTATACAAATATTGACACATGATAAAAGGAACAACCTGAATGAAAGGATCAAAAGTGGGAAGAACTTTAAGAAAAACGCATGCATAATGTTGCGCACAGAAAAAAACTGTATCAATGAATGCAAATTTATAGAGAATGAATAAAACCCTGTGACTCGAGTACTTTCGAAAGTGCTTGGGTTGTAGGGTTTTTATTCATTTCTATCAAGACTTCTTGAACCTACGTGTCTTTCTGACATCATGAATGTAAGTTTACATAGGTATTTTACTACAAATATTTTAGACATCGTAAACTGATTTCGACACATGAAAGGGTGCATCACTACCGTACATACAAGTATATGAATAACAAAAGAAATATTTCAGGCTTCCCAGTGATTTCTATATTTCCTATATGTTGGCTTCTTCTTTTTTTTTCCTGTATATTCCTATATTTGGAAGATTTTCCCCATAAAATTGTAAGATTTGTGCTGCAAAGAATGCTTCTATGAATGGCACGAGTGTAAATATCTCGTATATAATGTCCCCCCACTGGGACAGCAATAAGTCTTTAGATTTACAACACTAAAATCAGGGGTTCGATTCCCCTAGGGGGACACAGCAGATAGCCCGATGTGGCTTTGCTATAAGAAAAAAAACAACACACACACACGTATATAACAGAAGATAGCATATCAATGGTTCAAGATCATATTCTTTATATAGCAAATATTGCATAGCAGTGATGAAACGGGTGTACATACAGTGCCAGGTAGCATGCAGAACAGAATGCATTTAGACTTGCTAGTGTGTAACACCAATCTAAGCATATCTTGGTTGTTATTATCTATAAATATATGTATGTCATGAAATGCTAATTAATTAAAATATATAGAGATGTTAATTTTTGAAATAAAAACGTCCTTTTAATCTACTTTTGCTTTTAGTTATCTTCATTACCCAGTCAAGCTGTCTCCAAACTTTTAGTGTATTGTTAAGTTCCTTACAGTACTAGATAATGTATTTCTTTATTAAGTATGTAACAATATGAGAGAACAGTGTATTGTTAAGTTCCT